ATTACCAGCCCCCGTCAAGCAGCCACCCGCCAAAAAAAAAAACAATCAAGACCCTCGTCCAGCCCAGACTTCACTGTCAAACCCAATCATTTCACCGGCAGGACAGCGACTTGCCGAATCTATTTTACTTTCATTATACTGAGCCGGAGGAGAGAGAAAGTGAGAGGAGAGGGGAGAGGGGAGGCAAATTAAAAGACTCCCGTAGCCCTGCATACACTCAGTTCCGATCCCATATTTAATTCAGTGATTGATTTGTTCATTAAAATACATCCCAAACCTAATTATTCCATTAATAATCCAAAACCTAATGAAAAAAAATACTCTGTATATGTGTGTGTGAGAGGGTGAGAGAGGGAAAGAGGGAATCAGTTAGTGAGTGATAAAGAGAAGCTGGAGACAAGAGGGAGACGCAGGAAGAGTTGGAGAACGAGGTCATTTTTTCCCCCTAGTTTTCTTCAACTACACAAACATTTGCACACACGCAAACACACACAGAACCATGGAGGTCATTTGAGGATGTGTGGCCTGGAGCGGGTAATGTAGAAGGAGATGTAGGGTAAACTTTGACCTCCGATAAACACGAGCGAGCACATGGCCACCATGGCAACTGAGAAATGGGCAGAGATGGAGACGTAGCTGTTCATGTGTGGATGGAGGAGAGACAAGGAAAGGATAAGAGAGGAAGAAAAGAGAACGGAAGAAGAGAAAAGAAGAAAGAGGAAGAAAACGATATGCTAGGTGAGGAAAGAAGGGGAATAAAAGGGAAGAGCAGTACAGCCAAAAAGAGGAAAGAAAAGGAAAAGACACAACACACCTGAAACGAAGTAAAGGAAGGGAACAGAACAAAGAGATAGGAAAGGAGAAAAAACAAAGGAAAGGAAAGATGGAGACTAATAAATTAGAGGCCATTCGCACGGATCCAAAGAGACGTCTGTGTGTGTCCTGTATAATGTGAATGTGTGTGCCGCTATGCAAGCGTCAGTCATTGTGTGTGGCAGTGCGGGAGTGGGGCAGCCCTGAGTGTGGCTGGAGATTAATGGGGGCCATTACCTCAATGCCCAAAACACTCAGTGATGAAGAGTCACTGCCTGGCGACAGGCCTTGGCCAATCCATTTGCGGCGCAGCGGTCACCTGCCCGGGTCAGAGCCCACATACGGTGGGTGTTTGTGCTGTTGTGGTGATGGTGGCGGGGGGTGGTGGATTGGCAAATTGCCACAACATTATGGCGAAATAGGAAAACAACAGGAAAGTTTCCCTCCACCTGGTTCGTTTTGCCGCTGGCATGGACAGGCTTTATCGTTTCTCTTTGGCCAAACACACTACGATGATCGCATGCGTCCGCTCTGGAATGCAACTGAGTACATCCACTCAAATACATTTTTGACATACTTGTACTTCAGTGTTTCCATTGCATGCCACTTCATCGCTATTGCACTACATTTCACAGGTAAATATTCCTCCTTTTGTGTCAAACATTGTCAGGTCCCCGCCGTGCTTCCATTATGTATCCCGACGTCATTGTGTCGACATTTCTTTAATTGCACTTTGTGATATACTGTGGAACGATGATTGGAAGGTTTCCCTTGTCTCGCCACTGAATAGGAGGCTATGGAGTGCAATTATTAACAGCAAAGTAATGATGCTTACATTCCTTGATTCTCGTCGCAATAGAGAGCAATGATCACGGCAAGGAGGATGTTTCTCTGTGTTTACTGTCTCACCCAAAATTGCTGCGCCATTCTTCAAAGTGCTTGACGTTTCCCTCATTATCGACAATATTTACTGCCGCTGGAGGATGGAGGAGGAAACCCAAGCTGAATTACTCATGAATACTTTTGGTAATCAAGTACTGTATAGATTTATAGATTTTCTGACTTTTGTTATCAAGTAATTATGGCATTGCTCCTTTTACTCAAAGGAAAACAATACTTTTTTGATATCTTACCAAAAATGTTTAACATGAAGCTGGACCTGACAACCAGTTAGTTTAGCTTTCCTAGCTTAGCATAGCATAAAGCTAAGCTAAAACAGCTAGCCTGTGTCTGAAAGTAACAAAATCTGACTGAGCCTGAGAATTTTGTTATCTTTGGACAGAGTCAGGCTAGCTGTTCCCCCAGTGTCCAGTATTTATGCTAAGCTAAGCTAACTGGGTGCTGGCTCCAGCTAATTTCCCAACTATTCCTTAAAATAAAGCCCCTCAATAATTCCTCTACCGGTACTCACAATATAAGATATAATATAAAGTACTTTGGCAAATGTATCCACTACATCCTATGGCCCTCAGAATTCTGTAAAGATCTCTCTCTGTGTTATTTAATTGAATACCTGCTTTATTCTCTCCTCTATCTTAACAACATACTTTTCAAAGCCAACTGAAGACCAAGGGAAAATGATTTCCCCTTTGCTAGAAAATTGTGTCTCTTGGTAAGGATGCTGTTTGTCCTGGAGGACAGGCTCCCTATCATTACCTTGAGAGTGCAAAGATCACTCAGAGAAGAGGGCTCCGAGTTATTTATTGGGCTCACATGCCCAAACACACACAGGCACGTGTTCGGATACACACCGGGGCGCAAAACCGCACACATGAATGGGGAGACACGTTACTGCTCACGGACACACCGCAGAGAATGTCAGTCTTTTTCTGGCTTGAAAAAAATAGCTCGGGGCCATGTGATGGAAGATCCATGAGGCTAATAAAACAGAAGAAACAAGATTTCTGGCTTTAATGCTGTGAGCATTTAGCTCGACTCCGTGTGCTCGGGTTGACCGGTCTGGAGCACATGCTGCTAAATGGACTCCCTGCTGTAACTGGGAACACATAGCTGTATCAGTAAGGAGTGGAATCAACATTTAATCAAATTCACCCATGAGCAGTTTGGCGCAGTTTCTAGACCTGCTAGCGACATGGCTCAAAGGATGGCCAGTTGGACTACTGGATTAAGTGCCATGGAATTTTGTAAAGACCTAATAAATACTGTATTCGTAAACAAATGAAAATAATGACGTTACACATGTAATCCTGAGAGATGTGTCTCCATATTGACAGCAATGGAAGCAATAATGGAAAGGATAGCAGGGAAATAAACCACACTGACTCCACTGATTTGATTCCCAAAGCCACTCAATGAAAACTAATCATCAGTCTTTGATTTCCAATCAATCACTCGAGCACCTTCATCCACACTCTCCACCCAGCCACAAGACGGAACTGCAGTTATTGCAGTCAATCACAATCAAACTACTACAGAGCTGAATGTCACCGTGCCGTGTGGGTTCGAGGAAAGGTTGTGAATAATACTCCCTCTTGCTCTTCCTCACTTATGGTACCACTAAGAAACTGACACTTCCCCCTCTTGCCACCACAGGTGAAATCGAATCCAATTACGGCAATAAGTACCAGCTGAAGCAACCTGCTCCCCATGCTCTTGGGAATCATCCATCATGGGGAATAAAGGGTTAAGACCTCCCACAATAACCCCCCACCCCGTGAAACCACAGCGCTCATCCCCGACTTCGACAGATATATTGCATTTAACGATGACCAATATGAATCAATTCCAATAGTCCGACTCATAAAGGAGTCCTTTAGAAAGAGGACATTATTTTTCATGGCAGCATGCTAGTTTGTAAGGAGCTCGTATGAAGTCTTACAAACAGCTGAGATCTCAACACGTTCTTAAAATCCAGATGTGACGCACTACACTTTCTTTCACCGACATCATATATGCATCAAGCTGGTCCCAGCTGATCCAGTGCTCCCTCGCCCACACATGATAATTTATCTGATCAGGGATCAGATGAACGCCACAACTGTGTGCCTGCATGTTTGGAAAATCCCCGGAGTCTATTTGTCCCAGTCACCTTGGACGTGCCGGGGAGTTCTATGCCTCATTTCTGTGTAATTTAGTGTCACTTCAGCGGGGGCCGCGATCACAGGGACACAGCATTCTGTGATATCGGGTAGCTATTCAATATGCTCAAGAGGCACAAAGCTATGAATAACTAACATAAGTGAAGTGGCGTCACCTCTGTGTTTCCATTGCAACAGGGGAAATTGTTTAGTATAATGGCGTTGTGATAAATGGATCAGTGGCCTGCAGTAAAGCAACACAGATGCTTCGTGCACATACGAAGTATTTGGTTTGACCAGTAAAAAAATAACTGACTGCAATTTTAGATGCACTGGAAGCAGGGAGCTGAAAGCTCATTGGGAAGAACCGTCCATCTTCACAACACACATTAGCAAAACGGCACTAAAGCTAATCTGGTAGAATATTAACAGTTGTTGTTTTGTCTAAAATCCTATCAGGCTGATCAGTGCCAGTGGTAAATCAGCCTCGGGGGGGGTTGCCTCTGTGTCACAGCAGATGCCTGCACATCATGTAATAGCACCCTACTGCCATCCCAGAGTTATAACTCAGAGATGTTAAATCTCACCCAGCAGTTACACGATCGAGCAGTCTGGCCGCGTTGACTTTGTTTGCAAAGACAACACGAATGTTCTTTTTTGGGGTAAGCAAAAGCACGCCCTACTGCTGTTTCGACGAATCCGGGGTGCAGATTTTTGTTTGTGTGGCAGAGAAGGGGTGTTTAATTTGTTGATTCCTCGCGCCGCCACTCATTCCCTGAGAGAATAATGCGTGTTGATGCTCTTCTAAGACGGAGTTCAAAGCAAACTAGGCATGTTGCTGCGGAAACAACGTCAGTGGCCCTCCCGTGTCATTGTGAAGGGTGGTGGAAATTAGGATCAACGGGGGCGAACTGGAGGAGATTATAACTAAGAAGTCAACAACAAAAGACCCTAACTGCAAAAAAATCTGAGCTTGTGGACTTGGCAAAATTCTACGTGTCACCATCCGTCACATTCTGGCTTGAGGGGGAAAAGAAAAGCTCACGCAACATTAACACAAATATCTATTACAACCCTCACACCTGCCAACACGTACGGTGTAGCAACAGCCACGTCCCCGTCTCGTCTGACCGGACCGCCGTCTCTTACCTTGGCGATTTGGACACACCAGTTGAGCAGCAGCTGCGATCCGATGTTGTCCTTGTGCTCGTGCACGTAGTCGAGGAGGCAGCCGTGGGGCATGAGCTGGGTGACCAGCTGGATGGTGGGGCTCAGGCAGACGCCCAGCAGACGCACCAGGTGGGGGTGCTCCATGCTGGCCATGATCAGGGCCTCCTGGGTGAGAGGGGGGGGGGGGGGGGGGGGGGGGGGGGGGGGGGGGAAGCGGGACAAAGAGGGACTAAGAAGGTTGTTGCATTTCAGTTCGTCCTCTGTTTACCCAAAACATAATTTATCAACTGTGGCAAATATAGGAGAGTAATCTGAGAGTAACTGAACTTCAAGCCTGGTGATCGGATGTTCTTGCTAAAATGCACCATGGGAGTCTATTGCATCTATTACCCATGGATACAACTTCCTTCTGCAGCTGGAGTTAGATGCATGAATTTAGACTTGTGGAATGATGACTATATCTGCATGCAAAGCATCTGTCCACAGAGTATTCCCACTGTGCGAGAAAATCCTGCAGAAACCCCCTTCAAAGCTGCACAAACGCAGTCTCTTTCATTTATATTTTAACATGCATAAAACACAGAGGTTCTTAGCTGTCGCACCGACACCGCCGAACACAGAGTCACTGCGTGTCTGATTTCACAGGCTTTCTCCCCGGTTTGATATGGCGTGTAAATGCATTTTCCGTCTCATCTCTCTCATCCCCTCCTGCGGCAGATGGCCGAAGAGGTTTTGAACAGTTGGGACTCAACGTCGGGTAATTGTTATTGCGGTGCTGCAAGCAGAAGGATGTGTGGTGGTGATGAAGTGTTATGATAGGCGAGGGCTGGTACTCGTGGCCGGCGTGAATGTGCATTATGGCAGAGCAGAAGCTGCAACCCGGAGCTGCTGCTTAAAAAACACTCACTTCAGTCGCTCCCCTCGTCTCCTATTGCCTCTCTCGTTCGCACACTCTCGCTTGTGGACACACTCTCTTGGCAGCTCTCCGAAACACTCCATGCTCGCACACTCAAGGACACAGTTACACTCCCTCTTGCTGTGTCTGCGCGAGGCAAACGGTTCGAGGAGGAGGAGGAGGAGGAGGTGTATATCCAGGCTCGGCCCCCGGGGCAGTTGATATATAGATGAGGTGCCTTTTTAAATTCAGGTGCTAAAGAATGAGCTTGGAGGCGAGAATGGTGGCGGTGTCGGTGTGAGTGGATTAATTCTAAACAAGAGAGGGGGGGGGCAATAGGCCGTAGAGAGGCTTTTGGCACCATCAGTGGCCTGATTTAAACAGAGCCTCGCGGCCCAAGGTAGTGCCACTACATCTCCACTTCATAAAACCACCTGCTCCCCCCCCCACCCCCTGCCATGCATACCTCACACCTCAGGATGAAGGGAGGAAGAAGACGGGAGGGAGGGGAAGAGCAAAGGAGGACAGCTGTGTGTGTGTAACAGAAAGTAGAAGAAAGCGCTTTTATTCTCGCTGTGACTCCAAAAGACCCGCGACTCCTAACCCATGTCTGGCTATACTATTGCACCGGCGCTCCACTCCCGTGTGTGCGTTTTGGTTTCTCTCTCGTCTCCCCGAGCGCTGACCTCCATTACTGCCGGCTGACCCCCCTCTCCAATCTAGCTCACTCCCCCTCACACACACACACACACACACACACACACACACACACTTGTGAAAGTGTGTGTATGCATCGATATGCACTAATTTAGTGTGCTGTATTAGGCTTTTGCATTTCACATGGAATAATCAACCCGCTCACTCAAAATTTACATTTCTGCCGACACAAACAAATCAGCCTGCAGCTCGCGCATACAAGGCCGCCACCACCTGGGGAGCCTTTTGTTGTAAAGTGCGCGCCGTTTGGTTATTGGTGTTTATATGTGTGGATTTTCGGAGTGTGTTTTGGAGCTGGCACTCCAGTGGCCAGTTTCCCAGCGGCGAGGCGTGAGCCTGCCTTTAGATTGCTGTTTAACAAGCCGGCAGACGGAGCATATTGGCTCTGGATGGACAGAGGCCCCTGCTGGGAGAAACAGGGGGAAGAGGAAGGGAGGGAAAGAAGGGAGAGGAGGGAAGATGCAGGGAGAGAATAGAAGATGAAAAAAAATGGGCAGAAAGGGAAATAAAAGATGGAAGCACAGCCATGTTGTTTCAGTAACACGACAATTCACTGTAATTTATAGTCTATGAAAAAGTCCAAGGTGACATGTTCCATATCGGCTTGTTTTGTCTGACCAATGTCGTGACACCCACAGATTCATGTTTCTGAGGTGCTGGACCAGGAGCATTCTGGGCCTTTATGCTTGAAAAATGACAAATCGGCAAATGAATCAACTAATAAATCAACTAATCATTTTAGCTTTACTGTCAATGTAGAAGAGCAAGAGCTACTCCACATGGTTTGGTTTGTGTGCAAGAAGAAAAAGAAGAAGAAGAAGAAGAAGAAGAAGAAGAAGAAGAAGAAGAAGAAGAAGAAAAGATGGAGTTGGAAGAAGTTGGATGCAGAGCTGCAGAAGATTTAAACAGCTGGGCAAACATCCAAAACAATATTGAAGATGAACTACCATCCTTTTTGCAAAACCTGGTGATAAGTAAACTGCGGTGTGAAAAGAAAGATGGGTAAAAGAGGGAGGAAGAGGGGAAGAAAGGACAGAGGAGAGAGGTGACGAAGATAAGGTGGGAAGAGTTGGAAACTCCCCAGCTTGTTCCCTCCCTCCTCCTCTATCGCTCCTGGATTCCAATAAAGCCATATCTCATAAACAAGTGCTGTTTTTTAATAGAGTCTCGTTCAATACATGCCTGGCTGTACAGCACAGTGGAGTTCGCTTTATTACTGGCTCTGACTGAGATGGTACTCTCGTAAGAATTTATCGCCGAATGCACAATCCCACAGAGTGACAGGGCTCGGGCAGGTCTCACGAACACGAGCAGCCTCGATATAAACACTCACGTCCATGAACTCCACGTTAGCTTTGGGGCCCGTGGTCTCGTTGAGGATTTTAATAGCCACAGGGATCTTCACCGTCTCACCTTCCGGGACCCAGATGCCCTGAAACACACAAGTAATCCCCCATAAATACAGTCCCAGTAAACACCCACAGCTGAGGCGCTGATGATTTTGATGGGTACTTCCTGTGCTTCATTCCTCAGATTAAAATAAAAGATTAAACACTTCTACTCACTGTATGGTGCCGAAATAAACCCAAGCGAAGAGCTTTGGATCATAACATGCCGATAAATTCATGTATCACTATGTATGCAGATTAATTGTATTAAAGTATGGCGATAAAAGCAAATAGGCCCATCAGTACTGTACTAGAGAGGAATGTAAAGCTGGGGGTAGAGAATGTCGTATTTTTCTTTAAATTTTTTTAGTTTGCTGAGTTTCGGGGTGGTGTGAATAATTCTGCCAAGGGCAGGGAAGTTGGCAAGCGAACAGCCGTTCCTGTTCCAGGCCCTTGAGCTGCCCTCGGCTCATGTCTCTCAGGGAACGCTGCTACAAAGGGACATGTTTACGCTTATTGTTTAGGTTGTCACGCAGGGGCGCTTCTACTTGAAAGAAACTTCTCGAGTGTCTTTCCTCGCCTTCTAGCTGACTTGCCGCTGTTTGATATATAATGCGGAGGCGGCCACATCTGAGTGAGGAGTGTGTGAATGATGGCAGGTGCTTTGACGCAGACACACACACACTGACCTTGTAGACGGTACCAAAAGCTCCAGAACCCAGAATCTTGACCCTCTTCAGCTCAGTCTCTTTGAGGATCCGCAGCTGAGCCTGGTTAGGGGCCGTTCCGCTCGGGGTCAGGGGCTCCACCAGCTGACAAAAACACACACATTCAAACTGTTATTCATGTATTCGTCACCTGTTCCAGTGCGAAAAGAGAAAAGCATAAAAAACATTCCTCTCGTCTTTTGTTGTAGAACCTGAAAGCGTGCCTCTGTTTTGCTGAATGCTAAAAACATTTCTTAAGAGTGTGCCTCAGGGTGCGATCGCTCCCTTTTAACATAATAAGCAAAGAGATCTTGGAAAGAGGAGTGCGAGGTGGACAAGGATTACGAGCAGCCAAAATACAGTGACTGCACTGTCCTGAGTCATGATTTTGGAAAACACACACAGACACACGCATTCATGAAATACAAATGATTCCGCTGTGTGAACGTGAAGTTCTGTCCGGGCTGGCAGTACCCGGCGTGCCCACCGCTGAACAAATCACAGCCCGGTGTCAGCTGCTATCACAGCCGACAACCAGTGGCGGCTCACCAGCTGTGCACACACAAAAAACAATTCCAATTCAAGGTTATGACGAGCCTCCTCCGCGGCTGCCTGCCTGCCAGTAACAGCTGACACCGAGCAGCGATCCCAGCAGCTGGCCCGGCCACCCACCCGCCTCACCACTAGCCGCTCCACAAAGCGTCGGCTGCTAAATATAAAAGAGCATGGAGCTGGCACCTGTAACCAAGCAGAGAAAAGACCTGAGCCAGAGGGATGGAAGAGCCACACACACACACACACACACACACACACACACGAATATGGCAGCATGTAGTGCACATCTCTGAACACATGCAGATGACATGCATGTACAGTGCACACAAATAATGACAACACATGCAAATTCACGCTCATAAACATCAAACACACAGGGATGGAAGCACATATCCGACCACAAAACACACACACACTCACACACACACAAGAAGTCAATGCCTCTGATCAATACATGTCTTAATGAGCCTATCAGCCTATCGGGGTCCCTCATTCGCCGCGGTTTATCAGCGGCATAATCACCCAGCTCAGCCACGGCCATCAAACAATATAATGAGACCATATATCAGCCGCTCAGCCATACACTTACTTAATGCGATATAAAACCATCAGCACAATAGGACCGGCGATCGCACCGTCGGGCCGGGGCCGGGGCCGCCAGGATGGATGACATTGCCCGCAGCTCGGCAATGACATGTCGTTTAATGTCTGTTTGTTATGGCCCGGGGGCCTGGAGGCGCAGCGTAAGGCCGCGGAGGTGTCACCGCAGGAAGGGAGTTAGCGGACGGAGGCGGCGGAGGGAGAGCGAGGGATAAATACCGAGGGGAAGTGAACGAGATGACAGGAGGCGCTGTGGCAGTTAGAGCATGACTCAGGGATTGTGTAACAGTGAAAACCTCCATCTTAGTCTGCTGTGTCTTGAAATCGTATTCATCTTGAACACCAACAGTTCTATAACAGTTTTGTGGGCAAACTGTGTGTTTTGATCAAAAGCTCCAGAACTGCTGGACCTCGAAGTGAAATTGTCTTCTATCAGATGCTCCATCCATGGTCAGGAATGAACCAATTAACTTGTATGTGTGCTGAAAAAATAGCACAAAGAAGAAATGAAGATTTTGTCCAATACTGGTAAGAGAAAGGATTCGGTGTTGGTGCCACTTTCTAAAAGAAGCGTACTTTAAAGCCCCTGAGAACTTCAAATCTTAGATTCAATATTTACAACTAAATAAGCAACAATCAAGAAGAGCTCAGCACTCAAGAACTCGGCTCATCTGCTTCATCACTACTCACATTTTTAATCACATTTGATTGACGGGGACAAAACCGCCACCGCCAACTGGCCTCACGCGTACTTTTTAAATGCTGCTGAATTCTGATTGGTATTCTGCTAATAACCTATGTCTCCGTTATCGATAGATACCCCTGGAGCCCCTGGATTAAGCAATTCTTCACATTCCTCTGCAAAGTACATATTGAATCTTAAAAAACAACAACATGATATGTTTAAATAAAGACACAAAGGAAACAAACAACATTAACATTGATAATTAAAATGTCAACAATGACGAATGAGCACTGTCGCATAGAAATGAGCAATTAAATGACAATAACTTCTGGGTTGCCAGGTTGTGAATGTCTAACATTTAAGTACACAGAACCACTGACTGCAGACTTTATTGACAGCAAGAAGGACAAGCTTTTTTCACATCCATCATATCAGCGCTGTATTTGGCCAAAGAGCATTATTTGATTTGCTGGCGCATACGCTGAAAACAAGTGAAATGGAGAGATTCAGTAAGAGAGAGGAGGAGAGGAGGTGATGGAGCAGTAGAATGAGCAGATGGCGACAGGCTGTGGCTGTTATTGTTTCATTAGGACGAAGCCGGGCCGGACTGATGAGGAGAGGAGAGGTCTATTAAATAAGATGCACACCCATGGCCTGCAAAACTCTCTGGAGCTCGTCCTCACTCGCACACACACACACTCACCACGCCACTTTATTTACCGGCTAATAATGCACCTTGCCTTTGCCAAATGAGCCTCACTGGTGCGCTGGACTCGGATGCTTCATTGGACAAATGAGCAGTATGCTCAAGCCTCGAGCAGGAATACATTGACAGAATTATTCTGTATCGACTAAGTAAACAATGTCCTCAAACATACGGTTGCACTGCGAGCCCTCGGGTACAGGCTTCAATGTGAACATCCCCCACATAGAATGCTACATTTGCTGCATCGTGTAATTGAAATCAGGTGACACAAGGCTGATATCTGGTTGTAGTTTTGATTGATATTTTTGACAACCGTTCCCGTCTATTGTAAAAATACAGAACTTATGCCAAGTGCCAAATATGGATTTGTTTCTGGGAATTGTTAAGTTATGCTCTCTATAGTCGGAATGGCCCGATAGTGGTGAAATTCTCTCATGAGATTTGGTTCTACTGTGTCATAAACAAACGGTACAATGCAGGACAGAAGGATCTGTCTGACGGCGTGTAAGGTCATAGAACCGAACATTTGCTCCCTCACATCACCCGCACCGTCCTTAGTCTCCAATTTGGGATATCTTGATGGCCCAGTAAAATATTCTCGCGGGTTACTTTGGAAACCACAATGACACAGAGTGAGCTCATTAAGGCCATTTGCACACGATAGCGGGGGAGGCGTGCTTATCAGTATGCAAGGGCATTCATTCTTTGGTATTAGCGAGCCCATTCCAGCGGCACTTGTCCTCCGCTATCTGCATTTAAAGAGCAGCCTTTCACTTCTTAGTTACTACACATGAATTCTTGTGGAAATCTGTTTCTGAGAGACCTGAAATTCAGGACTTGGAGTTGGCTGTCGTACAAATGCCTGTAGATGTCTTCTTCTCTCCGAGGCTCTTTTCCTGAAGTATAGTCATGGGGCCCGCGAGTGTTTCGACCACTGGCACCGAGCCAGAGCACTCTCTACTGTGCCTGCACCTGATTAGCTCCCGATTGGCTGGGGCAGACCTGATCCAGCTAACCATTGTAGAGCATTACTGGAGCTCTACAGGACCAGGCGGACATCGCTGGAAACAAGCCTGTAATGATAACCCACCATTGCACGGGGAAACTAGAAGCAGGTCAAATGGACTCTAATGTCCCCGTAAGATTAAATTCCCTGATGCATTTGACTGTTTCATAATAAGTGCATATGTTTTGTGTCTGCTTCATTTTTTCGGCTGAGCTCGTATACCGAACAGAAACGCTCTCTGTGATATCCAACATGACATATTTGGTGTCTTTTGAATCTCCGGGACCTTGAATTAAATTTAACATGAGGTTCAGGGTATTTGAACAATGCCCGGCTGCGCTGCATGCATTTGTAATGACATCCCGTGCCTCCGTTCAGCCGGGCCCGCCCCGCGGCGAACAACGGGAGCTGTCCAGCTCCCCCGAATGCTGAAATCCTTCTTTGAAGAAAGCAGAAGAGAGCGCGTAAGCAGCGTGAGAGCTGTCCACAGCCTGTGGTGCTGAAACACTCGCACGGCCCGTGTCTGTACAAAGCAGCTGGAAGAAGACCTTCCAAGTGCATTAGTCCCGCTTCATTGGGTTGGGGTCAAAGTTCAAGGCCCGGGAGCTGCAACAGTGGGGCGACTCTGCTGTTTGTGCTGTCGCTCCCTGCGAGCAAAGCAATTCGTGTTCATGGGATTCTTTAAGAGGCACCACAGTGTGAGATTGGCTTTTTTTTTTTACTTTCTTTTCTTTAAAGTCTATGTTTCTTTCAAGGTGAAAGAGAGAGGGAGAGGGGAAGAAACAACAAAAACGGGAAGACAGAGTTAAAAAGATAGAAGAATAAAGTGCTTATTCTCAAGGGAGACAGACGGATAAATGGACTTGCAGAGATCAAAATGGAGAACACAAAAAGAAAAATAGAAGGTGAGGATGCGAGAGACAGACAGAGGCAGAGAATATTAAAACAAAGACAACATTAAAGAAATGAAGTAGTGGCGCGTTTTGCGAGTCAACACAGCCTTCACACGTGTCCTTGATATGGAAATGCCGGCTGAGTGCTCAGATCACGTTCTGACAGCGTGCACTGGAGGCACCGCTTTCCTGTCTGACACAAGAGGTGAGCTCTCTGTTTAAAAAAGCTATGGCAGATAGGGGGGGCCCTGAGCCATCGCTGTCCCCAAACCCCTCATCCAGACAACTTGATCTCCGTTCACAGACTGGATTATTCCTTCGAATAGAGAATGCACATTCGCCAGCCATCCAGAGCATACCGTGAGGTTTCATCAGCCAGAAAGAGGTTTGTGGAAAGTGTGATACAGGCTGCAAGGAGCGCAGTTTTTTTTTTTTAAAACACCATTCAGATAGAAAGTAAACGGTCTCTGTGTGTATGTACAAAGCATGCACACGGTGGAAATGCACATATTAGAAGATGCAAAAGGGGGCGAGAAGACGCCCCTCCACCCGGATCCTGCATCGCCTCTCCTTCTCTGTGACAGTACATTAGCGATTCTGCTCGGACTGAAGGCTTCCCTCCCGGTCAAGAGGCTGTCGGAACAGGGCCTGGGTAATTAAGATGGATGAGTGTGGCTGGGATGAGGCAGAGACTGCCCATGGCCGCCCTCCTGCAATTCCCGTCTCTAGCCTGACAGCTGTCTATAACACTGTAGCCTCTACCTGTAAATTATCCTAATGCAGACTGACAAGCAGCCTGTCCTATAGGCAAGGCCACTCAGCCGACCCGCGGCGGTGACATAACCGCTGGGCGGCACACAGGAAACGGGGCGCGTCGTAGCAGCACAAAGGTGATCAACCGGAGCATGAACGCACACATAAACCCTGCACTCACCGCTCCACAATCTTTGACTTTCTCCTTTGAATATAAAGTCTACTCCGCTGTCTGATGCTTCCCCACAAATGAACCCCCTTCAAGGCCAGATCGATGGCCGTGCATAACTTTAAAACCCTCTGCGTGGTTTGGCTAAGTACCATAGCCAAGGTTTAAAGTTTCAAGGTTTGCGTGTGAGTCTAGTTTGGTTGGCATCCATCTGGAAAAGTGCAACTGCAACTTTGAGATAAAGGATTTCTAACCAACTCAAAGAAAGTGGGACGCCCCGCACCCAAAAATAGAAAAATATATAAATAATATGATTAGCTTGTTCAGCAAACTAAAACTTTGCCTTCTTCAGTTTTTGCCACATTAAAACAAGGGAAGCTTCTTTGCGGAAGCTATTCCCAATTTCCTCTCTGGGATCAATGAAATTCATTACACTGTGGTAATTGTCCAAAGTCATTAACCAATTCATCCTGTAGTTGCAAAATGGAGCAATTAACTCTCTAATCTCCAAATCTGAAACCTCAAACTAAAATAAACGAAGAAAAATAGTATTCTAAAGTGCCACGACACGCATGTGCGGTAGAAACTGATTTGTTGTCGTTATGACCCTCGACCCCCTCTCACCTCCGTCTCCAGGAAGCGCCGCAGGGCCCTCTTCTTCTTGATGCTTTTGCGTCGGACAGAAACGGCCACGCTGAGCGCCAGGATGACGATGATGAATAGGCCGCCGATAATGCCGGCTGCTATTAGTGGTGTCCTGTAGAGACGAGGGAAGAGAAGAAACATTGCCATTGCTGAAACGTAGAAAACAAAACAAAAAAGGCACTTGGAAAGATGCTGATGAATTCTCCAACCTGCTGTAGTATAAATACAATACTCTCACCACTTCAGATTCAACCCTCTGCTTTTAGAATCTGGACTCTTCAGCTTGATAGGCTGTTTCTACAATCTTATTCTCTCTCGTCTGTAATGAGTACGCGAGACAACAAGGCAAGCTCAGCAACAAAAAGAAAGAAAGTGACCATGTTTTCACGCTGTAAGTTAGATGTGACAATCGCTCCAAAGAAATGAGAATTTAAAGGCGTCAGCCCTTCACAAGTTGCTTCGTGATCATCAGGGGTCAAGTCCAGCCTAAAGGTTGGAAGTTAAAATCTCTAATGATGGCACTAATGCTTTTGCCATTTACATAGCTCTTGCGCTTGTGACTACAGTTATGGCACCACTCAAATCAGTCCTTCTATGACTCTCTTTTCCTTTATCCTGCCCCTCCTATCCCTATTCCATTTCATCTTTCTCGCCAGAATCTTCACTACCCTCTTCATCTTTTGAAAACACAACCGCATAGAAACGAAATAACACCTGCTTCTACCAGATACCTGAAGTGCGAAGCTCTTCTCTTTGTAAAGGCCATTAGCAGCTAATGGAAGACTCTTGTACCGTGGCGCTATGGGCGGGCAAGGTGCCGCAGCTTTTGCCGAATCGATTCTGACGAAACAGAAGGAGGGGGAGGGCTTGGAATTTACAAAGAGGGCTGCGGGTCTGGACATAATGAAATATACAGACATGTGGTGAATAGTAATCCAGCAGTTTGGAATGAATTAAATAGAGATGGGGGGGGGGGGGGGGGGACAAGGAGAAATACAACAGTGGAGGGAATTAAAAGAGATGGAATGAAAAGCAAAATAAAGAAGAAATAGGAGCAAAGGGAAGAGAAAGGGGGACAAGAAACAGAGAGTGTGACAGCACCAGGTGAGAGACACGGGTGAGGACTTCTCCAATTAGGAGGAAAGGGTTTACAGCAGAACAAGCGACGCGAGGTCACCAGATGAGACGGGGGGAAATAATGCCACTGTGTGAGCAAAAGGACAAGTCTGGGAATAGAGACTCAGCAGAAGCCTACCAGAGGGAAAACAACAAAAAGGTCTCATTTCCTCTCTTAAAAGGGAGCTCAAGACCCCCTTTTTATGGCTGTGCTGGTTTGGTTGAATTCTAATGAGTTCAACACTCTTTAGAGTTTGCTCCAACTGTAAAGATCACTTGTTTTTATGGGCATTTTTAATACGTTTTGTTGTTGTTTTGTCTTCAGGCTATTTAGGTCGCGTGGCACACAATACTTTCTCTAAATTGACCCTTTGCTAAGCCTGCTAGAAACGTTACGTTTTAGAGATGTTTGTCGTTAACGTTTAACCACCGCTAGCGGAAAATCAACTCGAGCTGGAACAATTTCACAAGTCAATTGCAACTCTTTTAGATCTCTAAATGCGGAACATTAAAATCACATAAAAGCTGAATATTTTTTACTCTCTTTCATAATTTAAATGACAGTCCACTGACACATTTGAATAAATGTCAACAGTGGCACAAATTAGGCCACGAGATTCACGCCGGAGCAAAACATTCCTAAGTCATCCATCAATTACAGGATACAAAAAGTGTCTGCACTCTGGTTTTAATGAGTATCCTGAGAGAGTTTAATGAGTAGTGGCAGGGTCTGATGCTGGTCTCCCAGTCCCACGTCACAAGAGTAACCTGAGATCTCTTACCTGTCCATCATCCCGACACAATCTTGGAGTCTTGGCCCGGCGCACCTGCAGGGCAGACAAACCAAAGAGAGATCATCCATTAAATCAGGGACGGGGTTATGAGTAAACCTCGCGTTGTCTTTCTTCCACGTCAGTCAGCTGTCACCGGGCGGGAACCTGTGGAAGATTGGATCCACGAGCACGGCTGACCACTTGTCAATATGACGGGGAAGAAGCGCTCTGTTGGGAAAGCGTTGTTCTTCTGTGTTTATCGAAGACACTTCTGCATCATCTGGCAGCGTTTCCGAAACAAAGTGCTGTGCTAAAACCTTTGGGGAAATGAACAGAAAACAGTCAATTGTCTGTTTCGCTGTCTATTAAAAATTAAAATCCTCTAGAGAAGTGGTGCGAAAAGAAAGAAGAGACAGTAAGGATGCTCCTCCATTGAGCATTTGTCCCTCACTTCCCTTCAAGAGCTGAAACACTGGAAAATTTGGCTCGATGTCGAGGACTGGGTGTAGATGTAGTGCCAGGTTAATGGATGATTATATTCAGGTTTCTAAACAGGACGTTAACATGAATAGAAAGAGAAATTCTACATGTTCTAGCTCTATTGTTTTCTTCTGTGATCCTGCTTTATCGCCTTCTATCATTCTACTGCATGGGCAACATTCTTCCTTTTCATTAAAGATGCGATGATCAATGCTTTTTCAACACATCACATGAATGTGAAAAAGATCACTCTAGTAATGAACCGACACATAAATATCCCCTTACTCTGCAAAATTTCAGTTTTTGGTTTTCGATTGTGACAAATTAGACTGTGATTCAGTATCCAAAACACAACGAATACTTACATCTGTGTCTTCTTACTCTCTCAACAATCAAAGGCACGGGAAAGTAGTGCCGATAACACGCCGCTGACAAGTGGAGTTTTTAAACATTAGGTAAACAGGAAGTCATTAAAGCAGACTGTTGGCTGCTCATTAATTCTACCTCCTTGAGTCAGCAGGACAGCAGGAAAGACACAAGGAACGCTTTTTTGAAACGCTCCTGTTTGTGTGTGTGTGTGTGTGTGTGTGTGTGTGTGTGTGCGTGCTGCACGAGCACACGAGACGCAACAAATTACACAGCAAATTAGGAGAGCACGGCAACTTCGGAATTAAACCGGTGACAATTGTGGCTCCTCCAAAAGTCGCTTCGTTGTCAATTAAATGTTGCACCAAATAGCTAATTAGCGATTAATCAGTGTTGATCCAATGTTGTGTGTGTGTGCGCGTGGATGCGTGTGTGTGTGTGTGTGTGCCACATTGTTTCCTTCCTGGAGAACAAAGGAGTGGTCTGACAATAAGCATCATGAGGTACAGTACACGTTGTATAATGGTTGCATGTGCCGCTGTGTGTGACCGTGATGATGAGCAGGGCAAATCATCCGGTCACACTTCAATAACTAACTTCCTGTTGTTTTTATGCCACTCGCTTTCGCCTCCTGCAGTATCTTTGGCTCACATCTCTCCCCTTTTCAGCTCCCCCGCCCCCCCCGGGGGGTTTGAGAACCTTTGAGGCAGCGTAATGAGACTTTAGGTTTAATCTCCCCCCCTATTGAAGTGTCTTTCATCCAGATGCTAACTCTTTACCGGCCGTACGGGTACCGCTCTGTTCCCGACACTGACCTTTCACCTCTGTAATGTCTCACTTTGGCTCATGGCCTCAAATACCCAGAATCAGCGTCTGTCCTGATGATAATCCTGAGCACCCTGTGGCTGGAGGGCCGGATAAGACGACAAGGCATGATGGAGGTGTTGGCGTGTCAACGAGAGATTAGTGTTAACAGAGTCAGGAACGCGTGTGCATCTTTAGGAGTGAAAGCCGTCATCTGACGATTTAAAACACATCCGTCGTCCTCTTCTTTATCACCTCACAAGTCTTTCACTCCACAGCACCATCTTACCCCTCTATTGACAACCGTTGCTGTTGGGGTAAAGCTCCAAACAAGGTATGAAACCTCTTTGTTTTTGACAGCAAGTAGAGCAAGCTTTCTTTTCATTGTTCTGGTATGAGCAGAATTTCTTGTTTGCTGTGCCACACCGAGAGGACTGTCCCGTAGCTACAACAACATTCTATAATTTGGTAAATCTGGACCTGCTGGATCTCCAGTGCACACAGTATCATGCTGCAGACTGGAGAATCATGTCTCTATAAATGTATGCCCATTTGGAGCTCTTGGGGTGGACGTTACCTCCAGCAGATGTTTTGATTTGTGACTCACTCTGTTGGGATGCTCTTTGTTCCAGCCAGCATGTTGTTTTCTATAGAACCTCAGGCACCTCACCCACCTACTTCCTCACTTGCAACCTTCGTTCGCGGTCTTCCTTGTCTTACATCTTCATGCTCTACACCCCCTCCCCTCTAGCTACTGTCTCTCTGCCCCCATCCCTTCATTTATAGTTCACCGGCAATATACTCCACATGGCCTTAAGGGTCAATGCATTCTACCTCTGATCGCAGAGCCACCAGAAGCCAGCTACAGGTCGGGGAATCTAGCGGCTGCAAGATTAAGTCATCTTCTCCACCGCTCCCCTTTTTTCTCTCTCTCTCCTTGAGAGGGAAGGCGCCCCCATGTCCAAAGCAGTATGTCTTCACGATGCTTTTAACGGCATAAAAGCTTCTAAGCCAGAGGACGCTGTGGAAAGTCTAAAGGGGAGCAAACACTTATAATAACAATTTTGTATACACGGACATCTTCATGTTTCCTCCCTGGCTTACCCCTGGGTGCAGTTGGCATGGCAGGGGTGACACTCGTTGTTGGCCTTGGCGTACTTGAAGATGAAACTGTTGGCCCCCTGCAACCCATCGGGGCATTTCTCCACACAGTTGGGTCCATCTTTGAAGTGGAGGCATTTTACACATTGGTCCGGGCCCTGAAAGGAGAGCAGAACAAGGAGGAGGGAGATGAGAGGATGGGGGTTTGGAGGAGGTGGTGTACAAGGGAGGAATAAAGAAATAAGAGGGCGCAGTAAAGGGATTAGTAAGATGGAAAGAGGGGGAATCAACAGAGAGAGAGAAATGATGGGCAAGGAGGTGAAGGAAATAAAGTTAAGGGAAAAAGCAAGAAGGAAGAATGGAGGTATAGAAAAATATATGAGAGGAGAGAATAGAATTGAGCAGAATCAAACTCAAACCTGGCGAATCAGGTCAATTTGCTCACTTCCTACCACGGCTAATGTGGCCGGCAGGACCCGCATGAATAGCATTCAGGGATTTATAATGTGTTGAGCACAATTGCCAGCAGTGTATTCTGCTGCAGCCCTGTTCAAATTGGCAAAACGCATCAGGAATCAGGTCGTGTCAAAGCGCGCGGCGCATCGAATGCGATGGAGATGACAAGTGGTGACTGAGCACGAGCTCAGCTGCAGCGGGATCATGAATAAGTAAGATGGATAGTGGTGTGTGTGTGTGTGTGTGTGTGTGTGTGTGTGTATGAAAGAAGAGAAACACTGACTGTGCTCCGTGTGTGTTTACGCGCGGGTTTGAAGCGTCGCCTGTGTTGACTGAAGTGCGATAGCAGTGTGTGAACTTACAATCGTGTACGCGCATGTGTGTGTGTGTGTGTGTGCAAGAGTTGTTGTCAAGACGCACTGTTGTATTCTGGGCGCTGGGAGTTTCTCGCGCCGCACACTGTTGCTAATGACGACCACAGTGACCTGATGGACAGCCTCTCACAGTTTGACACATGGAGACACACGCCATCAATAAACATTATTCTCACTTTGCATGTCTGTGTGTGCGCGTGTGCATGCGCATACAGATGTCTGAATGCATCGGAGTATGTCTGTGTCTGCCGTGTGCATGTGTATTTGTGTGTGAGAGCGCCTGTGGATGATTGACTCCGGTGTTATTTACTACTCAGCTGTGACCAGCATCTCAAAGTCAGCCGCCTCTCTGTGCATCCTTGAGTCTCTCTCTCTCTCTCTCTCTCTCTCTCTCTCTCTCTAGGGACAGTCATAAAAGGTTACTCACACAATGCTAAATTCCCCAAAGTAAGTCATGCGGCGCATTTCGATACAACTTTCTGGAATGTAGCACTACAAATGTAATGTTATGTGTGGTGAATAACTTTCCGGCTCACGACCCCTAAAGGGTAAAAGGTAAATTATTTCTTAATTTTCAGGAAATGTTAGTCAAACTGGAATGAATCAGTATTTGTTTGGGACTATTTGCTGAAGCGGTTTAATAAAAATGTGGTGCAGTCGTCAGTATTTGTGGCACCAGGTTGAAAATGAACGACATGTGCCCGAGTTTACCCTAATATGAGTTTACCCTATTTTTTTTTTTTTTAGATGCATCTCTTCTAACATTTTAACGGGAATTTCTAACATTTTTGGAGGCTTGGTGCGATCGCATCCGAGACTCTAAAAGTGACTTTACGGGAAGGTCAGCAACTAATCTCATTTTTGCTGTTTTGAGTGTATGTGTGTGTGCTTGCCAAAAAAGCATGCCTCCGAAAGTAGCCACAGTAGTTTATCATTCCTCCCATTAACCTAGCACTCACCTTTGCAAACACAGCACTTATACCTTCTGAGATCCTGTGCGCAAAACAGATAGACTCCCACAAAAACAAGTTGGAAATCCACTTAAGCACGCACAAGATACGGGACTATCTTTGAACAGAAAAATGAGGAGTGGTTTTAATCTAAAAGTTAAAAAAAGTCTCCCTCGGGAAAGTATCATTAAGTGGAAAGGGAGTTGAGTGTGAAGGTGTCTGAAGAGGATTCAGGGGTGTCTTACCTGGCCAAGGCATGTCATGGCGTTCCCATCCATCTTCTCACACTGGCTATCACACTCCAGGCACACAGATCCATTGGAAAACTCACGCATTTCCCTGATTGAGATAGGGAAATGGGGAAAGAGGTGCATGTATTATAGATGTGAGAGCATATCCACATTGAAATATTGATTATTAGCCTGCTGAGGGAGGATTTTGAAGCTGTACATAGCTGTCTTTTGATATTAAACCTGCATGCAGCATGAAGAAAAGCAAGGTTAAAAGCTTCATTTACTCATGCCCATCTCCGCGATTCCTAATTGCAGTGACTGCTGGAGTGCCCTCTGGCAGAGGGGCACACAGGGCAGCTCGGTGCCTAAGACTATTTGATCAAGTTAAAGGCTTAGTATGGTCAATATGCTGACAGAGAAGGCCCATGAATAATGAACAGCTTTTTTTTTTTTAAATCATGGGCAAACACAAGGGGTATGCGTGGAGGGAGGGGAAAGTGAGAGGAGAGCTGGTGGGAGGGAGCGAGAAGAGTGGAAGGGGAGAGGGCATGGACGGAAGCTGGTTTTGGATAAGGCGAAGGGGAGGTACAGAGAGAGTGCGTGCAGATGAGGAGAAGCAAAGCTTGAGGCAGGCGAGCACAGAGAAAAGAGGGAAAATATAAGTCAGAGATATTTGCTTTTCATTCTCTAATCAAATCCAAGAATCATTGCAGCAACCGGTAGGAGCTCTACCCGACTGTTTATTTAGCCAAGTAGAGCAGTGCACGTAGTTCGTGATGGTTTTGTTTTCCCGCTTAAACATCTGGAGGAATAGAGGCAAACAAAAGAGCTCAATATTGGGTTTTACACTGCAATTACACTGACGGGAGCTGCACAGCGTCCCAGGCCATATATGCAGCCCCTATATGTGTGCGTTTGTGTGTGCATGCACCCGATCCATCCATTTCTCCCTTTGTTTGTGTCAGAGTCAGCGCATTATCTTCGTTTTTTTGAAGTGCAGGCGAGCAAGAGGATGGCCGCTGTCAATAACAACCGCTGCCGATCAAAACCACTTTTCACATCAGAGGGATCGATCGGCCGATGCGGAGGATGGACACCCTCAGAGGAGGATTCGCCCAGTTACAAACAAGCCTCTTTCTCACAGTGGTGAGATAATGAGAGTGGCTCTCTGTGTGCATTGTGTTTGTCTTTGCATCGGATGCTACTAGGGTGGAATAAAGATTCAACAGATTCCTCCCTGTGAGCTGTTGTTATGTGACCTTGCACTGAGATATTGAGGGTATGAGTGTTTTATGCAGCTTCATGTGCTGAATATTAGATGAAAACCTTTTAGACTTGGTCGTCCGAAAAGCTACAAAAAAGAAAAGATTCAAATCCAACACTTGATGATAAAACCCAGATTTCCCTTTTTGCTGAGCCTTAATGCGAGAGCATTATTCTAACGGTCCGAATGGTTGGTCATGTTCACAGCAGTTTGTCTCAAACATCCAAACATCCAGTATCACAGTCTTTTTATTAATAATGTTCTGGTGGACTCAAAGGAAACTCCCGTTGCTCTCTATTTACATTTCTCCCTTGTCTTTCTTTCCCTGGTTCCAAAATAAATTACATTTCTCTACTGGAAGCTCTGTCTAGGGGAATCCTTTAGAAAAGGGCCCGGGCAGTGGAGCGATCTCTCTTTTGTTGGCTGAGGGAAAAAAAAAATAAAAATACATTGAGGAGAACGGGTGAGAGACAAAGACCTCGGCAGTGGTGCTCTCCAGGGTCATTTCCATTCCGTTAAAGCCGTTCCTCCCGATTGGCCACCTTAACGGCTGGAAGTGTGCGCCGAGGCCCACGTCAGGGGTTGGCCTGATGAGGGATTAGCCCTGTTTTAGCAGGAATTTAAGCAGGACTGTGGCTACTATTCAGACCTCCAAGCCTCCTGCAAACCAGAGCATGGCCAACCCACCAGAGCAACCTTATTAATTAAACACTTTCAACGCCTTCCTAATCCGCTTCCTCCCTCCTCTCCGACACCCTCTCAGCCGTTTTCTTTTCCCCTCTCGCACTCCACCTTTGTTTTATTCAACAGATGTATAAACTAAAGGGAATTAGTGCCTTTAAGAATGGAGACATATAATGAGGGTGAGCTGTGGAATCTTAAACATTTAAAATCACCAACTTGGCAACATATTTAATGAGCTTACAAACACTCAAATCGGTAGAGATATACAGTCCAATACAATAGATTCAGAGCAAATGCAAAGTCAATCTAAGAGACGCACAGAAGAACCCCATATACAGTAACTAAGCGCATGATATGGGAACCAAAAATTAATTAGACCGCTGAAGCAAGCAGCGATATGAAACCGTACACTCTATGCAGATGACACCTTACTACAACTTCCAAACTGGCACGCGCCGCAACCACAAGCAGCCATACTGGGAGCCAAATAATCGTCTCGATCCGAGCGGCCACGCTGCGGGCACTAGCGCTAGTTGTGTAAATAAATGAACTTGCTGTTTCAAAAGATAGTAAGCATGATCTGTATTTTTTTTTACGGTCTTATGAAAAAGGACGGCGCTGAAACAGTCATTCTCTGTCTGTACTAGAGAGCGATGTTACATTTACACACGCGGCAGCCACCACTAATAGAGTTTACCATTTTATCACTGGTGACAGTTATTGCATTAAACATTGATCCTGTCGTCCTCTCTTTCTGATAGACATAATGAGCACTCTCGAAGATATATTCACCAGGGGCAAAGAAATACAGGCTATCCAAAGTTTTCATCTCAAGAAAGTTACCCTTCATCTGCCAAAGACACATATGCTTTGCAGGTGGTGAGGTCTTACACCAGGCAAACCTTTAGGTTATGGACTTTTCGATTCCACAATTCAGGCCAGTGGCGCAAAGCAAGAAGTGAGCCTGTTGAATGCACGATGCATCACAGCGGCTGACTGTATTTACAGTAGAGCAAACAAGTGTGCTTCAGCAGCTCCCTGCCACGCGCCTCATCCTCGCCAGTCTTCTTCAAAGTCTTTGCTGTGAGCTGTTTTTCCCGGCAACTTCAAAAGCCACCCTCCCACAAACGGTGCCCGTGAAAAAGGACCAGCAACAAGTCAACACGACCGAGGGTTGCTCGCTCTCGCGCACCCTCCCCTCTCACACTCCCGTGGACTCTCTCCTCTTCCGCCTGGGGAGAGCAGAAGCTTGACATCGCTGCTTGCGAGAAAGTCATATTTATCTCGTGGCAGACGCTGCCGGTGCAGTCTTACTTTGGATGGAAGTGTTGTGATTCACACCATCTCCTCGTTCATTCAAGAGCAGCACAGAACAATGGGATATATCTACAAAAAACGTGTTTCTCCTCTTGGCGGCATCAAGCAACGACCCGAATGCAATTATTCACGCTGAAAACAGAACAACAGTTGATTGTGAGGACAATCAAAGGGCCTTTGTCGCAAATGTCAGTTATTTCACAGCTCAGCGCTGTAAACACCTTTGTCCGTCAGCCCAAATGGGCAATTTGTGATAAAATATAATACCTCAACAATATATTCAAATTGGTTTTGGCCTATGGATGTTACACACAGCCAAATGTTCCTTTAACTGTTCACAGAGACAAATCCCTTATTGGTTCATCTCATTATATTCATGCCAATCTGCAATTAGACTCTCCTCCTCCAGAGCTCTTGAGAACGCTTCGAGTTCATTCTCATGCATCAAAGCTGTTTGAATTGATTTTACTTCCTCTGCTCATCATGTATGGCCGTGTGCTGTGTGCGATTTGACTACTCACTCATCAAAAAGGTTGCAGGACTCCACACAGGCGCGGCCTCGTCTGAAATATTGGCAGGAAAGACACTGGTCGGGCCCCGGGCCCCAGCACCCGTCGTCTGAGCACATCTGATCACACACCATTTGCTGCTGAGCTGTGGAGAGAAAGGACGTAAAGGAACAAATTAGAAAACGATACGCAGACATACGCGCACAGATACACACTGCTGTAGCCTGCACGCACACACACACACACACACACACACACACACACACATACATATAATGTAATTCAAGCATACTGGGAACATGATACAGTGTATATCGCTCTCAATCGACCAATAATACAAGCGGGAGCAAAGTGAAATGTATCCAATAACGGTTTATTATGAGCAATTTAATTTAGGGACTGGATGCGAGTGTTTGTGCTCACTTGTTCCAATATGTGTGTGTGTGTGTCTATTCTATATTCATACCGTGAGAGCTGCGTGTATCTGCACATGCATGCACAATTGTGTGTAGCCGAGGGCTGCACAGCTGTGCGAGGGAGCATTGGTATTCCCCACGCCTCGGCCATTAAAGAGCGCCCCAATCAGGACCCTAAGCCCTTTTTTTTCCCGGTCGAACCACAACAATCGATGCAGTTTCATCGGACTCGCCGTGTCCTCCATCCGGTGAGTGACACACACCCACGTCCCCGGGAGTGTCGCCTCTTTTGTCAACAGCCGAGCAGTCAATGGTAGACAGGGGGTTGCGCCTAATAAAGAGGCCTGTGTAAGGCCCCATTGATCGATCTCCAACGCACACACACACACACACACACACACACACACACACACACACACACAC